TGGTGGCATTACCTGCCCAGGCTCATGTGGTGGCTGTGGTTGTTGTATGCTTCACACCTTGCGGGTTTCCAGATCATGCAGATCATGCAGCATAAATTCAAATTCAAGTACTTATAAAGGAAGGCCTATAGCTATGAATTCCTAGGTTTACTGGGATTTACTATGGAGGGGCAGGAAATGTCTCATTTCCAGCTTCCTATCCATGGTAGTCCAGAGTCTCTCCTCCTGTTCCCACTGGTTGATAAGCCCAGGCCTTTGCATTACCAGCCTCTGCATCCACCCTGGGGCAGTCCTGAGGAGGCCCCTTGCTCTCCTGGGAGTTAGCATGTTCGTTACAGTCTGGTAAGGCACTCAGGTCTTTTGTTGTGACAGGGTTTTCATGTTACCTGTTCTAGTATACTTCCTTTGCTTTGCCCTTGAAATTATTTCTCTTCTCTTCCTACAGACTCTTCTCTCCACACGAAGTGTCCGTGAAAGGGGTAAGAGACATTTGTAAAAGAAAAGGGAGACAGGAGGGCCCCAGCATACACCAGATGAATGTTAAATGAATGTTCCTCCTTCTGACTGCTATAGGCAGAAGCCCTGAGCCTTCTGGCCCTGCATTGTGACTTGCCATACAAAGGTTCCCGCAGGGTGAAGAAGTGCTCACCTTAACCCCAGGCCTGACCACACAGCCTTGAGTTCCTTTCCACTAGGGAGCTGTGGGTTCAAGATCTTACACAGTGAGAGTTTGGAGGAGTCTTAGAACTTGTCTGGGGCAATGCCACCCTGTACTGATAAGGGTCCAAGCCCAGGAAAGAGAACTCACCTCTGCAGGGTCACCTGGTGCACAGGAGGCAGGAGAGGGCTGTACCCTGACTCGGGCCCTTCCTCCATCCAGGCTCCATATTCCAGTCATTTCCACTTCCCTCCTGGGAAGACCACCCTTGTTCTCCCTCCCGGGTTGGATAGACCCTGACTCGGGCCCTTCCTCCATCCAGGCTCTGTGTTCCAGTCATTTCCACTTCCCTCCTGGGAAGACCACCCTTGTTCTCCCTCCCGGGTTGGATATGAGTTGGAGCTCCACACAGCCCTAGATCAACACCCTTCCCACAGGACCTTATTTTTACCCCAACACTGTGGCCTTGCCATTATTCACTTGTATTTTTATGAATAATAATCACAGCCACTTGTTTGAGCACCTGCTGTGTGTGTACCGAACACTGGACCAGCCCCCTATAGACACATGGCTTATGATCCTCATAGCGTCCCTAAAAATACCATGATGAGTATTATGGAAATATTATTTCTGTTTTCCAAATGAGGAAAATGGGTCTCAGAGTAGCTTGTCCAAAGCAGCCAAGCAGAGGCTAAACTCTTCTGACGCTGAAGGCTCTTGCCACTACTTCTCTGTTCGTTCATAGTCCCTCATTCATTCATTCATTCCCCAGACGTTCTGAGTGCACACTCGGGGTGAGGCAGGAGCCGGGGGCTACCGATGCCCAGGAGCCTGGGGAGCCCGGGTCACATGGGGAGACAGTGGGTGTTCTCGGGGTTGCTGGGGCACAGCCAGCCCGGAGCGCCAGCCCATCGGGAAGCTCAGGTGTACCTCGTCAGGAGGAGCCACCGTGACTACATACTCCTTTGAGATGTCTCATGGAGGTCTGGAGCGCCCAGCTCCTAAACCTCGAGGCTCTGTGAGTCTGAAGGTGGAGAACCTCCCTGTTCAGGCAACAGCGTTAGTGCCCCACAGGGCTGTCCCCTGGGAAATCACAGTCATCCTTGGGCTGTCAGCCATCCTCACAGGTCACCCTCGGGGGACACAGGACAGGCTTCCACACCAAGGACCCACAAGGGAGGGCCCACAAGACATGCACACGGCCATAGGCTACGTGCTGTTGTGAAAACTCCAGGAATCTCAGCGTAGATAGATACCTGAAAAGAAACAGCATTGTTTAAGCTGTTTAGAAAAGGTGTAGTCTAGGGAACAGCAAGGTACGGTGGACTGGCAGGGCCCGGAATACAGCCAGAGTCTGCCTGAAATGGCCCTGAGTGTTTGAGGGAGGGGTGTGCTGTGGTTTGTCCTGGAGCAGGGACCACAGCTGCCCATGTGGCGGTGACCCCTGGGCCCCAGAATGACAGTGAGATCACAAGCTGGGAGCTCGAGAGTTGATAGGCTCATTGTGGACAAGAAAGAGGGAGTGAACGGAGGCGCCCAAGGCCCTCGGCTGTGAGGTCAGGTGAGTGTGGGTGGCCAGGGGCTGCCAAGCTCAGGCAGGGAGTGCCACCTGGGCCTGGGGTGGAGAGGAAGCAAGGGGCTTTTTGCAGGAGGATTCTTGGTAAATATGCCAGAAGAGCCCAGCCTCAGCAAGATGGTCACTGAGGAGGAAATCCAGTTCTACGTACAGCAGTTCAAGAAGTCTGGTTTCAGGTAAAAAGAGAGCGGTGCCCAGACACAGGTGAGAGACTGCAGCAGACAGGGACTCCTCAGTGCCCGAGGGCAGGTGGCGTGAGGCTCCACTCCCCCACCCCCCACCCCCGCGAGTGCCAGGCCAGCCTCTGCTTGAATGCCTCCGGCATCAGGAGGCTCACTCCCTCGCGGTGCTCGGCCTGCTCTCCTTTATGCTGGGGGAGCCCACAGCACAGAGGATTTTAACCATTTTTCAGTCATGAATCTTCTGAGAACAGGATGACAACTCTGTGTTCTTTCTTCAGAAAAACATTAAAAATATATAAACTTAAAAATTGCCTGCATTTTGGTGTCCTTGCACCACCTCCCAAGGTCCCTTCTCAGTGGGTGTCCTGGGTTAGGGGAGTGGCCTCTGGATGGTGAAGGGACGAAACCACCCTCCCCGTGCTCAGCACTCGGAGTCTGGCAGCCCTCCCGGTGGAACCCTGTGTGCCTGCACTGGGCCTTGCTGGGCAAGGCTTGGCACATGTGCCAGGCAAGGTGTGGGTTCTGGGCTCCGCTCTCTTGCCCCTGCAGAAAGCTTTGCTCTTCCCGGGATGGCTGGCTCTGTGCAGAGCAGGTTCCTGCTGCGGTCTGTGGCAAAGCCATCTCCTCTAAGTTTTCCTGGTTTTACTCTCTGATCTGTTCCCCAGAGGCCCCCTAAACTGGTATCGAAACATGGAAAAGAACTGGCAGTGGGGCTGCAAAGCTTTGGGACGGAAGGTGAGTGCTGAGGTTTGCGTTTTCCCCCACCCACCCTGACCCGAAGAGCCACCCTCGGGGCGTCCCGCCTGCCCAACCTCAGAGGATCCTGGGTCAGAGCTGGGCGTGGACAGACATGCTGGCATCCTCCTTTCCCTCTGGGGTTATAGAAAAGACTTTGGAAACTCTGGCTTCCCTTGAAATGATGGTGGGTGGCATTAGGGACGGAGCAGGGCTACGTCCAGGCGACTGCAGCATCTGTCTGGAATGCCAGTGGTGCCCCAGGCCAGGGCCGCAGATGGTCCAGGGCAACTCCCAGAGGTGATGTGGATAACGGAGCCTCCGACCCCAGGGGAGTGTTGGGTGCTCCCGGAGAGGTGGGGTTTCAGAACCAGTGGAGTCTCCCAAAACAGGTCAGTCTCTAAGTCTCGTTTCCTCAGTCTCTCAGTCTGCAAAGGGAGTAATGCAGGTCCCCGTTTACATTCAAAATATTAAAAACATTACAAACCTAAGGGAAATCACATTCTCCCACCAACAAGATAGTGCAGGTCTCCAGGTCTTCCTCAGTTCGCTGGGTGGCCCAGGTGATCTCATTGGTTCACTCGATGTGAGTAAACACACCCAACTGACAGGTCCCCGTTTACATTCAAAACATTAAAAACATTACAAACCTAAGGGAAATCACATTCTCCCACCAACAAGATAGTGCAGGTCTCCAGGTCTTCCTCGGTTCGCTGGGTGGCCCAGGTGATCTCATTGGTTCACTCGATGTGAGTAAACACACCCAACTGGGTGCCAGGCAACAGATCCGGGCCTGACCTCCCAAAATCAGAGCCTGTAACACAGTGAATAAGAGCGGCTGGGAAGCAGGTGGACCTGGGTCCAATCTCTGTGTGACACCGGGAAAAGCACTCGACCACTCTGATCCTCTGTTGTCTCTTCTGCAATTTGGAAATGACAAGAATAATGCCTGCCTCGTAGAGTTGTATAAGGATGGCATGGGCTAATGCATGTAAAGTGTCAAGAACAGGCTCGTAATAGTTCGATTAGTGTTCATTGTCATTATCGTCCCTGTAATCTGTGACCGATGAAATCCCCTCACCGCAGTTCCATAGACGAAACCTCTAAAGCGCAGAGGTAGAAAGTGACGAGGTGTCGGGAAGGTGGGCCCGAGGTGCCGAGGGTGCACACCCCGTTCCTCTGCAGTTACCTGCTGAGTCTCTCTCCCTCTTCTCCCGCCTCCTCCCAGCCCCCACCACCAGTTTACTTTTTGCCCTGGAACATTCTAGAGTTTACAAAACCCCACAGCAGCCTCAGGGTGAGTTTTAGCAAATCGCTCTTGAATGTCCCCGGTTCCTTGTATGAGGAGGGGGCAGGGTGAGACGCGCAGAATTGTGCACATAGGTAGGAAAGGCGCACATGCTTGAGCCAGGCCACATGGAAGCTGCTTAAAGATGGTCGTGACAGTGGAGTGAGAACAAAGAGGACAGATGGAGGCTCCACTGTCATTAGATAAAAGTAGAGTCGCTTTTTTTGATGTCACGTCAATAGCGATCGTGGGCGCCCCATTTGCTCTCTAGAATCTTGGCTGCTGTTTTTAATCCAGAGGAAAGGAATGTTGGTCTTCATTCAAGGGCATCTTTCCTCCCTCCTGGTGCCATTGACTTGGTTCTGTGAATATCAGCCACACGGAGCACATGTGCTCTTACTTATGCACAGACACACACGTGAGATCCATGTTGGCCACTATCTTGCTAAATCCATCATTCAAGGGCATCTTTCCTCCCTCCTGGTGCCATTGACTTGGTTCTGTGAATATCAGCCACACGGAGCACATGTGTTCTTACTTATGCACAGACACACACGTGAGATCCATGTTGGCCACTATCTTGCTAAATCCATCATTTTAAAGATCTCCAGTAATAACGGAGACTCCTTTGTGCCCAGCTTGGCAGATACAAAGACAAGACCATGGTGGTGCTGTGGGGGGTCTTCTCAGGAGAGTTGGGAGTGGAGGAAGCCATGGGCGTGAAGACGCAGGAGTCTCCCTGCACAGTGCGGGGGAGGGCTCCCACGGGGGAAGGTGCCACGGCTCCCATGTCCTGCTGTACCTTCCCAGATCCTGATTCCGGCCCTGATGGTAACAGTGGAGAAGGACCGAGTGCTTGTTCCTGAGCTGTCCAAGCACATGGAGGACTGGGTGAGGGAATGGCCCTGGATGGGGGTCTTCAGTACATCCTGGAAGAGAGCACAGGTGCCCAGCAGGGAGGCGGCCATGAGGGACACACCTCATCACGCCAGATGGGACAGTGGGTGAAGCTCCTCCCTGATGAGGGGCTTCGTCAGGGAATCACTGTCCCCTCTTGCAAGCAGCAACTATGATACTTCCCTTCCCTGCCCCAGGGGTGGTCTCATCCATCCATCGCTCCTCTCCTGAATAATGCGGGGTTCAGCAGGGGGGCCTATGGGGCACAGAGAGGAAGGTGTCCCTTCACAGGTGGCCTCCATTGTGCTACCCTGAAACCAGAGCCATTTGCATCCTGCCATTTATCTTTCAGATCCCCAGCCTGAAAAGAGGACACATAAAGGACTGTGGGCACTGGACGCAGATGGAGAAGTAATGAGACTGGAGCTTTCTGGGAGTGGGGGGCACAGGACTCCCTGCCCACCTTCCACACCAGCCTTCCTGGTTCAGCCATGCCTGGCTGAGCCACTCACTTGGCCCACCTCTGCCATAGCGTGGGCGAGTGGGTCCAGAGAGGGTGAATTACCTTCTTCTCCCTTCCAGGCCCGCCGAGGTGAATCAGATCCTCACCGAGTGGCTGGAGACCGAGGCCGGGAACCCGCCAGTGCTGTCAAAGATTTAGCACATGGCGTGTGGCCGCACCAGCAGGTGGTCCCTCTTCCACCTGTGGGAGCACCGCTCTTGGTATCTGGATGTGGCCTCGCCTGTTCTCTCCTAACCAGCAGCACTGTCCCAGGGGGGTGTGCAAGAATGGTGGATTTTCATTAAATGAAGTGAATTAAATCCGATGTAATTTTAGATCCAGGAGAAATCACGTGTGATTGGTTCTCTGGGTGTAACTGTATCATCCCCCGACCTGTCTCTAAGGACAGCTAACATCCTGTGGGGGACAGAATGGGGCAGCCGGTGGTGATTTCTCTTTGACTGACCGATTCACAGTTTTGTAGCAAAATCAGCAGTTCATTCTGAAGCGTCTCAGCAGAGATGAGACCCCTTCATTCAGTAAATCGAAACCAACAGAACGAGGGCGGCTTTCCCACTCGTGTTCTTGCCGGGGCACAGTGATGTTCAAGGGTGCATCGCACACGAGGGGCACGTTCCCTCTGCACTTGAGCGCTGCTGGGGTCTCTGTGGCACTGTGTGGTCTAGAGTAGAACTGGCCAGGGGAACTTCCTGGGGGGATGGCAGTGGTCTGTTCTGGGCTGTCCCACAGAGTAGCCGCTGGCCGCACGCGGGTGGCCACACGCCCTTGCTCCCCGTTCCCCTTGCACGGGCTCGTGTGCAGATGCAACCTTGAGCACTTGACACGTGCTGGTGAGACTGAGGAAGTGAGTTTTAGATCTTGTTTCATTTTAATTAATTTAGGTTTAAAGAGCCCATATGTCCCCACAGCTCAGTGCAGATCTAGACGTCTGCCCCTCTAGCCTCTCCTTTCTCTCGTCCATCCAGTTAGATACCCTGTCTCACTGACTGTCTCCTACAGCCTCTTCTCTGCCCAGCTTTGGGCCCCAGAGTCCTGTAGCAGCAGATTCCCAATTGGTCTCCCTCCCAGCGGGGTCGGATCCAGAATGTCACGGGGGCTCCCGTAGCACGGGCGGTTGTTTGGTTTTCTTCATTGCTGAGTTGTCGTTCTTTATATATTCTGGGTATTGACCCCTTATAAGATATATGACTTGCTACCTTTGTAAAGGTGTAATACCTTTTCTTACTCATCCTAAGGGTCACAGTTGACACTCCTATAACAAAAGTCAGGTTAACAAAAGAAAAACATACCAACTTTGCTTGATCAAAGTTTTAAGTGACATGGGAGATTTCAGAAATGAAGACCCAAAGACCCAGGATAGTCTGGGTCTGTCTGTTTTTAGGTTTAGGTTTCATGAAGAATGGACCTCGTGTAAAAATGTGATTGGGCAGAAAGGGTCTAATCTAATGGTAAGAGACTGGGGGAAACCCAGCAGGGCCTGATTCCTCCCTCCCCCACCCCCCACGTGGGGCAGGACCCTTCTGGAA